TTCATTAATTGCATAATTTTTTATTTCAATTGCTGATTGTGTCTCTTTTGATAATCGCTGTCTATGCAGAGTTACAATCGGGATCTCTTCTTATTCCTATACTTTCTTCTCATCATAGTTTCCGCAATAACTTCTTTCAAGATACACAGTGATAAGTCATCATTCTCGGGAAAATCCATTCTTTACTTGAATAGGCATCAAACTGAGGAGTGGAAAGGTTGGATGCAGGTTTGTGATTCTTTTATATGATACATATTGCTATTTAATGTTACATATCGGTTCTTAAACAGTGCTTCCAGCAGTCTGCTTGTTTGTCTATAAAGGACAAAAGGTTGCCATTCAATGTCTTTTGGGTGTTGAAGACTTAATTTTGGTGCTTGTCTCAACCAGAGCACATACATGCACCAAGGCGTACTTCTTCCTTTTCCAGCCTGTCTGGGTTTGAGCAGAGATTTTTTTATTATGTACTGAGTGCATGAACTCATGTGAATTATACTCATAAGACTCATCTATTCACTGTCCACTGTTCTCGTGTTGCTCCATTATGCTAATTTTAGTCTTTGTTGTTCTATCTTGCAGGTGTTATTTTTGATGTACCATTATTTTGCTGCTACAGAAATCTATAATGCAATCCGCATTTTTATTGCTGCATATGTGTGGATGACTGGTTTTGGTAATTTTTCCTATTATTATGTACGCAAAGACTTCAGTCTTGCAAGATTTGCTCAGGTATGTATGTAACCCCTTAAGCATATTGTCAGAGATCTACCCTGATTTGCTTCCAGCTGATTGTTTCTGGTTCAACAGATGATGTGGCGGCTTAATTTCTTCGTGATCTTTTGCTGCATTGTCCTCAACAACAGTTATATGCTATACTACATTTGCCCAATGCATACCCTCTTCACTCTGATGGTATATGGTGCACTGGGTATTTTGAACAAGTATAATGAGATTGGATCAGTAATAGCCCTTAAGATTGTCGCCTGCTTCTTGGTAGTTATTCTTGTATGGGAAATTCCAGGAGTTTTTGAAATTGTTTGGAGTCCATTCACTGTCTTCCTTGGTTAGTGGCTTCCCTAAGCTTTGCTTTCCATGTAAAAGCTGTGCTTTTGATCTAATCAACATACATTAAAAATGTTGCAGGTTACGCTGACCCTGCAAAACCTCAATTGTCTCGCTTGCATGAGTGGCATTTCCGTTCAGGCCTTGATCGTTACATATGGATTATTGGAATGATATATGCATACT